TATTTAGGAAGTGGTTCCCTGTGCCAATGCGTTCAAGTGTACTTCCCACTTTCTCTTCTATGAGGTTCAGTGTGACTGGCTTTATGTTGAGGTCTTTGATCCATTTGGACTTGAGTTTTGTGCATGGTGATAGATATGGGCCTATTTTCATTTTTCTACATGTTGATATCCAGTTATGCCAGCACCATTTGTCAAATATGCTTTCTTTCTTCCATTTGATATTTTTTTGCTTCTTTATCAAATATCAGGTGTTTGAAGATGCATGGATTGATATCCGGGTCTTGTATTAGGTTCCATTGGTCCTCCAGTCTGTTTTTATGCCAGTACCAAGCTGTTTTCAGTACTGTAGCTCTGTAGTAGAGTTTGAAGTCAGGGATTGTGATGGCTCTTTCTTTTTCTTTTTCCCTTTTTCCTTTTTTTAAGACAGGGTTTCTTTGTGCAACCCGACAGTCCTAGAACTCAGTCTGCAGACTAGGCTGCCTGCCTCTGCCTCTGAGGTGCTGGGAATAATGGCGTGTGCCACCATTGTCTAGCTGTATTTTTCTTTGACTTCTGAAATTTACAAGCAGAGGAGCAATCCATGTGGTTTTGACAGGGTTGGTTTTGTTTCATTTTTTGTTTGTTTGCTTTTGTTTTTATGGTGATGCTGGAGTTCAAAGCCAGGGCACCGTCCCACACCCCAACCTGATCTGTGCCTTGGTTTCATCTCTGAAAACACTCTTCCTCAGAACCTGAGGCAAAGATTCTGAAACAGTGAGAAGAGCTTGTGGGTATGAAAGGAGGTGAGCCTCCTTTTACACTAGGTTGAAGAGGACCCTGAGGAACCCTATCTCTGACCGAGGTGTTGTCATCTCTAAAGTGGGTCTTTCCACATGACCCCAGACTGAACCTCCAGTTATAAACATTGGTTAATATCAATGTCTTTTCCCGGTGCAAACAGTCTTGAGACTGGCTTGAGGTTTGCTGGTTTGAAGGCTGAAGCTTTTATACTTTAAAAAAATGTTGGAGTGGCCCAGGCGGCCCCAGGCAGCAGCTGTAGGCAGGCAGCGGACTCTAATTCCAAGACAGAGATGACTGTGGGGGCCATGTGAGCAGGCAGCGGGCTCACAGAGCAGGCACTAGCCCAGTGGGTTCCGAGCTGCTCGCTGCGGGTCCCAGTAGAGCAGCTTGCGGCGGGGCAAGCGGGTGTGAGCAGGCGGCGGGTAGAGTTCTTACAAGACACAGTAAACAGATATAAAGCTGAACATTTATTACTTAAAGGAGAGAGAGAGAGAGAGAGAGAGAGAGAGAGAGAGAGAGGAGAAAGAAGAGAGAGAGAGAGGGACAGAGAGACACGTGTGCACACGTCAAGAGGGGACTGTCAAAGTGTGTGATCCAAGATGGCGGGGAGAGGTCAGGGGTCACCGGGAGTGGGCGTGGCTTGCCCCTTAAAAGGACAAAAGAATAACAGAGCCCACACAGCCTGTTTAAGACAGAGACCATGCACCGTGACTCCTACGTCACTGTTGTTTCCCACTGCGCCTGCCTTTCTGTTGAGAAAAGAACGGGAGAAGGGATGGCCCTTTGGATACATTGCCTAGGCACAAACTTGAATTCCATATACAGCACCTGCAGAAGTGGGGAGCATGTACAAAAACAGGACATACAGACACCTGTCTCTTAGTGCAAAGGAAGTAGAGACAGGTGGATCCATGGGACTGGCTAGCTAGCCAATCTGTCCTAATTGGTGAGCTCTAGACCAATGAGAGACTATATCTCAAAAGGAGGTATACAGCATTTCTGAGTATGGCACCTGAAGTTGTACACACACACACACACACACACACACACACACACACTAAAAATAAACTGGGCAGGGGATGTAGCCCAGCTTCCCTAACATGCGAACATCTATCTAAAATATACGGGGCCCAGAGTTCTAAGTATCCTGTGCCACCACTGCTCTCCATGTGAGAGGTAAAACCTTGATGAGAAGAAACAGATTAGTGCATGCATTCAAAATGGCTTCTCCGCATAGTCACTAACTACCACACCTCATGGTATTTCTTCCAGTGTCTAAGACATGAAGACAATTTTTGCCCTACAAAAGCTCATGGCAAGATGCAGGGCCATAGAAATTGATGAGCGAACAGTTGCAGACACTGTGGTTAGAGGCTACTTAGGTTACTGGAAGTTAAGCTTTGGGCTAGAATAGAAAAGCCTAAGATTCTTCTTATCTCATACATCCAGCCCAGAGAAAGTGTTTTAGTTAGGGTTTCTATTGCTGTGAAGAGACACCGTGACCACAGCAACTCTTGTAAAGAAAAGCATTTAACTAACTGGAGCTGGCTTACAGTTCAGAGATTCAGTCCATTATCAGCATGGGGAAGCATGGCAGCGTGCAGTCAGACACGGTTCTGGAGAAGGAGCTTAGAGGCTTAGAGGTCTACATCTGAATCCACAAAGGTCAGGAAGAGAGAAAGACACCGGGGCCTGGCTTAAGCATCTAAAACCTCAAAGACAACCCCCCCCCCCCCCCCGTGACACACTTTCTCCAACAAGATCATGCTTCCTAACAGAACCTCTCCCACTGAGCCTATGGGGGCCATTTTTATTCAAACCACCACAGGCAGGCAGCGCAGGAGCAATGACTCAGCAGGGTCTTCTAGGCAGTTGTTATTTCTGTCAGCATTCTAGTCTGACACCACTGATGTGCTGGCTGCTCCCTCACATCTGCATCTTCATGGTAAAGGATAGTTGTGACGGCCAAACACCAGGCCAGTTACTGCACCTCTGAAATCAATTCAGAAGAGAGAAGACTGAGGCCATTTCTCCTTCATCTTCCTTTGTAAAGGAGAAACACTTCCCAGAAACTCAGGAGACTTCCTCTCAGCTTTTCTAAACCAGAATATAATCATCTTCCCCCACTCAACTGCAAGGAAAGCTGGGAAAATGAGTCTTTTGGGGATTGTGATCTGTGATCTATTTTACCTAGGGGATTAAGAGAAGGGAGTAGGCAGGCAAACAAAACAAAAAGATATAATTACTATTAAGTGGTAATAATACCACTTATATTATTGTGACATAATGGAATTCAGTTGTAATTCCCTAAACTACAAAAGAAGGTAGATTTGATGTGTGCCTATGATCTCAGCTCTTGAGAGATAAAGGCACAAAGGTCAAGAGTTCAAGGTTATCCTAGGCTGCATAATTAGTTTGAGGGCAAACTGGACCCTTTGTTTTGTAAAGAAAAACAAACAAGTAAGAAAAAGAAAGAAAGATGGATATATAGAAAACAAGATGGTAGATTCAAATCCACAATCTGTTATTATATTATATGTAAATTATCTCAGTACTTCAGACAAAAGAGATTTTCATATTTAATTTATAGAAATACAATTAAATATATTCCGTCTTCAAGAAACCCACATTAAATAAGAATACATGCAAGTTAGAAGTAAAATAATGGAGGCTGGAGAGACAGCTCCGAGGTTAAAAACACTGGCTGCTCTTCCAGAAGGCCTGGGTTTCAATTCCCCTGCAACCAAATGGCAGCTCACAACTGTAACTCCCGTCCCAAGGGCTCCAGCCACCTCTTCTGGGATCCAGTGGGCACTCTATGGGCATGGTACACAAACATGTAGGCAAAACACCTACACACATCAAATAAAATAAATAAATCGTTTTTGAAAAGAAAAACAATGGGTAAAGGTAAACCCAGCAAGCAGTCTTCAGAGCAAGGAATGTTACCATGGATAGGAAGGGTAACACTAATAAGAAAATATCCAATTCAATCTAAAAAGCAATCATTCTAAATGCATATATACCTAACAAGAGAGCTTCAAAATACATTTAAAAAGAGATGCAACTGGAAAAAAGAAATAAGGTACAACTCTAACCCAAACAACATTTTTTTTAAAAAAAAAAAATCACTACTTAGCAAATACAGACTATACACCGGCTTATGCTGTATCTGAGTGGGGGATGTTTGTTTTTGAGACAAAGCCTCTTTTTGTAGCCCAGGCTAGCCTTGAGTTCATGGCAATCCTCCTGTCTCAGCCTCCTGGGCATAGATATGATGCAATTGCGGTACTCTACAATGTGTATGGAATTTTCACCGAGATGTATACTTAGAGTTCTACCATGAGCCCTCCTGTACTCGCATATGTATCTCTTGGCATTCTGGGATTATTCCCAAGCTTGGCATTCTGGGATTTAGACAAGACAGTAAAAAGACTGGGGCAAGAGGCAAAACTGTATGAAGAAAACAGCATCCAAGTTTCCCTTTAGGTACTATTACCACATCTAAATATTCGGAGGCTATATATTGAGAAGCTAAGTACAGTTAAGAAAAATTGGCTGTCAAAAATTTTTCTTAGAGGCTGGGCTTTGTGGTCAGTGCCTTTAATCCAACAACTCAGGAAGCAGAGGCAGGTGGATCTACGTGAATTTGAAACCAGACTGATATACATAGTGATTTCCAGGACAGCCAGGGCCTATCCTGGTGTTGAGATGCTATCTCAAAAAACAAACAACATGTCTTTCTTTAGTTCTCTATAAACAGTCCCTGTCGGCTTACTGTATTTTTACATTTATTTGTTTGTTTGTGTTGGGGCATTGCAGAGGTCAGTGGACAAGTCTGACTAGCTGCTTCTACCACGTGAGTTCTAGAGAACAGAACGCACGTAGTCTTGGTGGCCAGTGACCTCACCAGCTGGGACATCGCACCAGCCTTACCTGGCTGGTTTGGACTCAGAGTTTCATTATGCAGTTCTGGCTGGCCTAGAAATCATGATGTACACCAGGCTAGCCTCCGCTTCACAGAGATCTGCCTTCCTCCTGCTGGCTGGAATTAGTGTGAGCCACTGCTCCCAGCCAGCCATTTCTAAAGCACCTTTGTTTACTTGATTTATTGTAAATGTGCTTCCCAGTGACCTAAGCTGAGAAGCCTCATCGACCATTCTCACTGAAGCGCTAAATGAGAAATGGAATAGACAAGATCTTTTGTTTCCCAAACCTAGGATTTCGTGACGTGCTGGGCCACGAGCAGTCTCCAGGTCACGTGAGGGAGCACAACCAATTACGTGGCTGGTCTTCTGATGAAACGGAGTGGAATGAAAACCTGTACCCAGTGTGGAAGAGGGGAGATGGCAGATGGAAGAACTCCTGGGAAGGTAAGCAGAAACTCTACCCCACAGCCGCGGCGGAGCTACCTCTACCCCACAGCCGCGGCGGAGCTACCTCAGCCAGAGCCTTGGACAGGAGGCCTCAGGCTGCCCTGAACGACTGCGCTCTAGCTGCTGCAACCCCTGGATTTGGCAAGCTTCTCTTTCTCCCAACATTTTCACTTTTTTGTTTGTTTGTTTGTTTGTTTGTTTGTTTTTTCTGAGACAGGGTTTCTCTGTGTAATAGTCCTAGCACTCCTGGAACTCACTCTGTAGACCAGGCTGACCTCGAACTCACAGAGATCCGCCTGCCTCTGCCTCCCAAGTGCTGGGATCAAAGGCATGTGCCACCACGGCCCAGTCCATTTTTATTTTATTTTTCTTTTTATTTTTATTATGTATACAGTGTTCTGCCTCCATGTATGTCTGAAGGCCATAAGAGGGAATTATATCTCATTACAGATGGTTTTGAGCTACTATGTGTGCTCTGGGAATTGAACTCAGGACCTCTGGAAGCACAGCCGGTGTTCTGAGCCACTGAGCCATCCCTCCAGCCCCCATTTTCTCTTTCTTTTTTTAAAGATTTATTTATTTATTTATACAGTATCCTGCCTGTAGGCCAGAAGAGGGTACCAGATCTCATTATAGGTGGTTGTGAGCCACCATGTGGTTCCTGGGAATTGAACTCAGGACCTCTGGAGGGGCAGTCAGCATCTCTCTAGCCCCCCCAACACCACCACCATTTTCATTTTCTAAGTCACAAATCACCTGGACTTTTAGACATTTCTAAGGTTGTCGCTCTTGGAATATTTTAGAGAGCAAGCAGATTTGGCTTCAAAACTGTTGGCTACCATGACTTAGGCAACCTCAGAAAAGCAGAGACATGACCTGATTATCCGGAAGTGTGACTTCCCGGAAAGTCTACAAACTTTCAACATGTGCCTCCTCAATCCAAAAACCAGCTTTTTTTTTTTTTATTGTTATGTGTGAGTATCAGTGTTCTGTCTGTGTGTATCTGTGCACCACATGTGTGCCTGGTGCACAAGGAAGCCATTAAAGGGCATCAAATCCCTTGGAACTAGAACTCCAGATGATTGTGAGCTGCAATGTGGGTAGTGGGGTTGAACCAGGGTCCCCTGAGAAAGCAGCCAGTGCTCTTAACACGGAGTCCTCTCTCCAGCCCCTTTTATCTTCAGTGATTTTTTTCCCCATGATTATAAAATCTATTAACTGTTCTGACTTATTTTTCTATAATATTGTGAAAGCTAAAGTTGGTGTCCAGGAGATAAATTTAACACACCATAAAGAGGCTTACGGAGCACATGGTCCTTACCCACAGATACTACTTTATCATAAACACATTTGGTGAAAGGCTGTCTGGGGGAACAAGCTCCCTTCTTTGTTACCCTAGGAGGCCGTGTGCAAGCAGTCCTGACCAGTGACTCACCAGCTCTGGTGGGATCCAATATCACGTTTGTGGTGAACCTGGTGTTCCCCAGATGCCAGAAGGAAGATGCCGATGGCAACATCATTTATGAGAAGAACTGCAGAAATGGTAAGGAGGCCAGCTCTCCTCCTGGAGCCCCACCCATAATCCTAGCGCTCATGGGTGCTCTCACCACCCCTTGCCACCCTTCTTGTCAAGCTGGATGGCAGGGATGTGTGCAACTGTCCAGATGTTGTTTCTTCATCAACACCAGTGTTAGCCAAGCCTCCTTAGCAGGCTGGTGGCTCCTGCTCCTTGGCACCTGTGCAGTGCAGCGGGGTGGGAGGGTGGGGGGAGGTGTCACTTTCTTGTACAAAGTATTTTTCCTGTATGTACGTCATGGACTTTGATCATGTCCCCCTCCAATTCCCCTGTCCTTTCCCTCTGCCCCTCACTGGTTCCAGCTCTTCCCAATACCTCGCTTGAAGCTCTACCACTGAGTTGGGATGAACTCAGTGAATTAGAACTTGCCTGGACTGTTCAGGGCCCTGGGTTCCAGCCCCAGGGCTACACACACATTCAAAACTCTAAACGCCCGTTTCCTCCATTGTCACACCCAGGTTGTCCTCCATGTCCCCTGGACAGAGAACGCATTGTCTGTGCTCAGAGTCTCATTTTATCACCTGATTTTAAACAAAAGAAATACCACCCAGGGCTCCATTTGACAGGTTTATTTCTGCTGACTAATATTTTGAAACAAATGACCTTCTGCTAGCGCAGACGCTGAGTGGGCATGCTCTGACTTTGTTTTACTCTTAAAGAAATAAGTTTCCTGTTCGTGTTAAAAGAGCATAACTACATCACGGAAAATTATCTCGTGAGGTTGCTCACTCTGGAGAACTCAGTTAACCACTGAGATTACTCCAGTGCTGAAGATGCCCCTGCCTGTGCCATGTGGGGCTTTTATAAATCTGTTGATGTGTTCATCCCTCATTAATTTTTTATCTCCCTTTGAGGCAAACACTAAATTCTGTATGCACAGGGGTATACTTATTTATCTAGTGGTATTTATTTTTTTCTCTCTCCCATTCCCACTCCTCTTCTCTTCTCTTCTCTTCTCTTCTCTTCTCTTCTCTTCTCTTCTTCTTCTCTCTCTCTCTCTCTCTCTCTCTCTCTCTCTCTCTCTCTCTCTCTCTCTCTCTCATGTCTATATAACCCAAATGAGCCTTAAACTCATGATCCTCCTGCCTCAGTCTCCAGAGGATTGGGATTACAGGTATGTGTTACTATACCCTACTTCCTCTTTAAAAAAAAAAAAAAAGCTGATTCTGACCAGAGTGGTAACACATGCTGGTAATTCCCACATTCCCACACTTGGGAGGTTGACACAGGGGAATCTCAAATTTGAGGCCAGCCTGGACTACATAGCAAGGACCAGATTTTCTCCATGTAGCCCTGCCTGTGCTGGAACTTGCTTTGTAGACCAGGCTAGCCTTGAATGCAAAGATCTGCCTGCCTCTGCCTCCTAAGTGCTAAGCTTAAAGCTGTGCGCCGTCACACCTGACTTGAGGCATCGTAACTGTAACGGGAAACTGGGAAGTACACAAGAACCAATGGAGCTATGCCAAAGGACCCAGGAGCCGGCCTAAGGGGGTTGGGTGGCTGGGCGGGGGGTGGGGGACCATTTAAGAATAAGAAGGAATAGTAGCTGGATAAAGGAACTCTTCGAGGACACAGACTAAGGGATGTTCTAGATGGCAGACAATGACCAGGTCTTGCTTAGAAGCAAAAGATCACACATTTGGAAAGGCTCTGCTCAGGCATGCAGTGCCTGCCGTACTGACCCCTCTTCAGTGATACTCGTGCCCTGCTCACTCACGTTTGACTTCCTTGTACAAACTGCAGTAACTGCTGGGTGTGGGGCACACCTTTATCCCAGCACTTGGAAGGCAGAGGCAGGAGGATCTCTGTGAGTTTGAGGCCAGCCTGGTCTACAAGAGCTAGTTCCAGGACAGCTAGAGGTACACAGAGACACCCTCTCTCAAAGAAATCACACCACCACCACCACCACCACAACAAAAATGCAGTAGCTGAAAACCACATAGGCCTCCAGCACCATGTTAAGCCCCACCATGCTGCCTTTCAGCATGTTGAGGAGCTTGTGATACCATTGTAATGCTGCGGGTGAAATTCCTCATGGGTATCCAGCTTGTCAGCTCTCCAGGTTAAACCTTCATTAAGACTCTCTTTCAGAGGCAAGAGCAACACCATTTTTGCAGTCCTGGTGTCTGCAAAGTCAGGAGATTCTCTTTTAAGGATTTATTTTTATGTTTTAATTTTATGTAGCTGTGTGTCTGCGTTTGTGTGTGCGAGTGTCCTCCGAGGCCAGCAGAGGGTGACAGATTCCCGGGCTGTTACGTGGGAGGAGAATTCTTTCCATCGACTCCTATGCGGGAGGGCAGGGCATGCTGGGGTGGGCGTGGCTCTGCAGGGCTGTGAGGGAACGCACTCCTTAAGACCTTCCCCTGTTGAAGACTTGGGACTGTGATCCAGGACTTAGCTGCGGTGACAAATGAGTGAGGGAAAGTGTGTGCACTAGAAGATGATGTCCCCTGTAGTTTAGTTTGAATAGCACCGAGATAAGTAAAATCTCCAGATGGAAGTTTCCTGGAACTTGATAGTATAACACTTTATTGGAATACAGCACATGCACAGGAAAGTGCACGAGCCATCTGCATGCCATGGGTGGTTTCTGAACAGTAGAGCCTGCAGCAGCTTCTACAGGGCTTCTAGGGAAAGGAAGTGTTTGAGGGTTGAGCATCGTGCATTTAAAGGCCAGAAAACTAACTCGACCTTGTCTGTCTCTCCATTAGATTTGGGGTTCACTTCTGACCGGTCTGTCTACAACTGGACAGCAGGAGCAGAGGGTGGTGACTGGGAAGGCGGCACCGGCCAGAGCCAGCACCTGGCGTTCCCCGACGGGAAGCCCTTCCCTCGCCCCCATGGATGGAAGAAGTGGAGCTTTGTCTACGTCTTTCACACACTTGGTTTGGCTTTTACATACTCGCTTAGCTCTTTACACTCCTGTCAGACTTTAACGTTGTCCTCCGTATTCTCTGAGAGGGTAGCCCTCACCCCTCCGTCGACTCCTTGCTGGAGTGGACAGGGAGGGGAAATGAAGTCCTGGCTAACCTCGCCAAGTCTGCAGGACACCACAGAATGAAGTGAGGAGAAGGAAGTGACTTTGGCTCTCTACACAACAGCAGATTAGTCTTCTATAGCACTATGAAAATATCTATTTGAACAGTACATGGTTGCACATTTGTTAATTTGTTAACATTCTAAGTGAATTAGTGAACTTAGTTATAGAAGCATGGGAAGGTTGAAAACATAGACGAGCACAAACAAAATACAAAAGAATCATCTACAAATAGCATCAGAAATTATTGCTATTAAGTGATGATGTTTTCAATATTGACATTTCTTGTTTAAGGTCATAATGGATACACATTTTTATTTTGCTGTCATAGCATTTGACTGTATTATTTAAACTTCCTTGCATTGTTTTAATGGCAACACAGTACACCACTGTGCAGACCTAGAACAATCTAGACACTGTTTTTCTCTGGCATAGTCTACTCTCTGGTTTCCAAAAACATAACAGGCATTCATTCACTTTGCTGCATTATTAGTGATCTGTTACTTTAAGAGAAACAAGGCTACTGAATTCTCAGTCTATCACTAGAGTGCCAAGTCTATGGATCGGTGGTACAATGCATACCCAGCATGTATGAAGATCCCTGAGTTACAAAGTCAGCAGCACACACAGCTCTCCAGGAGCCAACCGAGGCTGAATATTTGGAATCTGCTCCAATTGAGCATCTCCCAGATTTCCGAAGGTTTTGACCTTTGACTGAGAGCATCCTTTTCCTTCAGCTTTAGCGGAGCATGCCATTTGAACAACAGAGCAGGCCAGGCATCATACCTGCCCAAAGCTGGCTTTCCCTGATGCCATCCTAGCCCTGCTGGTCAGCTCCGCAAGCTCGCCATTCATTGACCTGCACTCCTGTGGCTGCAGAGGGTAGTGGAAGACACTCCCTTTGTATCCGTGATCCACAGTCGCTCTCTCGTGTCTCGCTTGTTTTAGGTACAAGTACTTCTAGAGAGTGGGGGTCCAGTCTCCCAGAAAAATCTAAACAGCCTACATCAATTGCTTTTTAAATGATAACAAAAATATGGTAGATTTGTGAATAAAGACCTTTTAAAACTCTCCCACATACCTCACCCTGACATTAAATGATGTTCATTGAAACTTAATAAAGTGTTCATCTGTAAATTAGGAACTAATTATATTGTCCCACTAAAGAGTTCTTTCACTGTAACCAGCTGTGTGCAGTTACCTGAGTTGCTTCATCGGGTTTGGCATAGAGCCAGGCACCATCTCCTTTTCTGGAGCTTCCAAACTGTTCTCTCCTCAAGGCAGCTTTTTTAATAATAATAATAACTTATTTAATTTTATGTGCATTGGCACGAGGGTCCCTGAAACTTGAGTTACAGACAGTTGTAAGCTGCTATGTTGGTGCTGAGAACTGAGCCATCTCTCCAGCACCCTCAAGACAGCCTTTAGCCTTTCAGAAATAACTTTGTTGAATGATCATGACATGTCACCAATAACTGGAAATGTCCATCTTCCACAGGTCAGTATTTCCAAAAACTGGGTCGGTGTTCAGCACGGGTTTCGGTTAACACAGTCAATATGACACTTGGCCATCAGGTCATGGAGGTGACTGTCTTTCGAAGACACGGCCGGGCATACATTCCCATCGCTCAGGTGAAAGACGTGTATGTGATAACAGGTGCGTGGTGTGAACTCACGTCAGTGGGGCACAAGGCATGGGCTCCTTTTGACATCTAGTGTCTGGGTTAGGGTAAGACTTTGCTCTGAGCAGAGCGAAAATGTTGAATTATGTTTTACCCCACCTGCTTGTTAGCGGGGACACTCTAAAATTTACACATGAGAAGGTCTCATTTGACTCTTGAGCCAGAACACATCATTGTGGCCCCCTCTCCTCACAGATGAGAAACAGTGTGCTTTCTTCCTTCTCCTGGTGCATCTTCTAGATCAGATCCCTATATTTGTGACCATGTCCCAGAAGAACAACCGGAACTCGTCCGCCGGAACCTTCCTCAGAGACCTTCCCATTGTGTTTGATGTCCTCATTCATGATCCCAGCCACTTCCTCAACGACTCTGCCATTTCCTACAAGTGGAACTTTGGGGACAACACTGGCCTGTTTGTCTCCAACAATCACAGTTTGAATCACACGTATGTGCTCAACGGAACCTTCAATCTTAACCTCACTGTGCAAGCTGCAGTGTCCGGGCCATGCCCTTCACCCTCACCTCCAACTTCACCAACTTCACCTCCAACTTCACCAACTTCACCACCAACTTCACCAACTTCACCACCAACTTCACCAACTTCACCAACTTCACCACCAACTTCATCACCAACTTCACCAACTTCATCACCAACTTCACCAACTTCACCAGCTTCAACACCAACTTCACCAGCTTCACCCACACTGCCAACACCCAGCCCCTCTTTAAGTGAGTAGTTTTCTGGGTAATATAGGGTGGTGGTGGTGGTGGTGGTGGTGGTTGTGTGGTAATTTTTGTCAGCTATTTATTAAATAACGTAGTCAATCAGCTTGAGACATTCTGTAGTCCTGTTGGCCTTGAACTTGATATTTAAGCTAGGCTGGCCTCAAACTTGTAGCAATTTCCCTGCTGCTGATAACTTTTTGTCTCCCATTTTTATTCTTTTATAGAATTTTTGGTTTTTTTGTTTTGTTTTATTTTGTTTTTCGAGACAGGGTTTCTCTGTGGCTTTGGAGCCTGTCCTGAAACTAGCTCTTGTAGACCAGGCTGGCCTCAAACTCACAGAAATCCGCCCGCCTCTGCCTCCTGAGTGCTGGGATTAATGGCATGCACCACCACTGTCTGGCTTAAAATGTTTTAAATTGTAAAATTAATTCACATTTCTTAGTAAAGAGTCAAACAAGCCACACAGAAGCCTACCATAAGAAGAAAGTCCCCGTGTGTTCTCTTCCCCAGTCCCCCTGACGTGGCTGGCCGTGTTTCTGTCCTGATCATTTTCTACTTGTTTACAAACATTCTCCATGGACGCGTAGGTTTTGTCATTTGGGATATTATGTAAATGGATTTATGCCATATGCTTTGTTCTGCAGTCTGCCTCTCTCCACTAAATAAACACAGTTTTCAGTTACTGTTGCAGAGAAACCTATCCCACCTGCCTGGGCAGCACCACAGTGTCCACAGGATGTACTAACAGCATGCATGATTGCTGGTGAGCGACTCCAGGATTCCCAAGTCCAGTTACGCATGGAGCCGCACTGGGCATGCCCAGACAGACAGCTTCATCTTAGCATGCCTCCAGGAAACTTCCTTCCTTCTTTCTTTCTTATTCTCCTTCTGTCCCTCCTTCTGTCTTCCCCTCTTCTTCTCCACCCTTCCCCAGTGTCTCACATATCCCAGGCTAACTTCAAACTCAATATATCATCAAAGGTGTTGGCCCACCCAGAGCTGCTGAGTCCACTTTCCAGTTGCTGGGATTGTGTGCGTGCACCACCACTCCGAGTGCCAGGCAAGCCCTCTGCCAGCTGAGCTACATCTCTAATCCCAAGAACCAATTTCTTTTTTAAAAACAATATTTATTTATTATGTATACAGTGTTCTGCCTGCATGTATGCCTCCTGAAGGCCAGAAGAGGGCACCAGATCTCATTACAGATAGCTGTGAGCCACCATGTGGTTGCTGGGAATTGAACTCAGGACCTTTGGAAGAGCAGTCAGTGCTGTTAACCTCTGAGCCATCTCTCCAGAATTTCTTTATCTGCAAGTGCATATAATCTTCCTTAAAAACTGAAAGAGCAGCTGTAAAACTAAATAAATTACAGATGCCTTTCTGTCTAAAAGTCTGGTTAGGTCACTTACTTTTAGCTTTTAGAGTCACATTTTTATAAACCAGCTTGTTCTTAGGAGCTGTCATGACAGTTATCAAACGCATTTCTGGAGCCAGTATTAAAGGTATTGTAATTTGCTGCTGTCGTTTCCCCATGTCGTGCTCTCAAGCAAAAGCCAGTGCCCCTTATGTGCTCAGTTTTACCGAGAAAGGAAGAAGCCTGTTTTTATGCAAAGGTGCTAACTCAACCATAACCATAATCAATTTAGGATGCTTTAAAGCAGCTGGGGTCAGGGCGGGCTAAGAAACAGGGCCCCAAGTGACTACAGAAGTTAACTGTGACTTTTTCCACTTGAGCCGTGTGTGTGTCTGTGTGTGTGTGTGTCTGTATGGGTGTGCTATGTGTGGCGTATACATATATGTCTGTGTCACCTCACTACACAGTAGTCTGTGTGTAGGCCAGCGGTTAATGCCAGGTGTCTTCCACCGTGGCTTTGAACCTTATCTTTTGAGACAGGATAGCTTGTTGAACCTGGGCTTGGCATGTCAGCTGGGTTGGCTGGCCAGGGAGCCTCCTGTCTCCACCCAGCCCAGGGCTAGGGTTACAGATAGCCATTGCCAGAGGGCTAAGAATGACTTTGAAAAGAATTTTCTCCCTAGAGAGCATTTCCAGCTATGTAGACCATATAAATAAGTCTGTATTCCTTTTACAAAATCTTATCTATTATTATTATTATTATCATTGTCATTGGCCATGGTGGTAGTGGGGTGTGTGTGTGTGTGTGTGTGTGTGTGTGTGTGTGTGCGTGTGTGTGCAGATGTAAGGCATGGGATCCAGGGGTCAGACTCAGTTCATCAGGTTCACAAACAACCTTCGTTACCCGCTGAGCCATCTCACTGCCCTTGCGTCAGTGAGCCTCATTGTTTGGCAATTAAGTGTGTGCCCTGTGTTTTGCTGAGTAGCTTCAGGAAAAATTCGGCTAACCCCAGAAGTCAAGGACTCTAGGAATGTAGCTGGGAAGCAGCATGCAGGTCTGGGCTCCATTCCCAGCACTGCAATAAATAAACAAGCAGCAACCTGTCTCTGAAATAAATAAGTAAGTGGCCAAGTGCAACTCAGCCCTGAAAATCATAGCCAAGTTGAAGAGGGCACTGGGCAGCTGACTGAATCATGAGAGTGGGGTGCCTGTCCAGCTTTCCTATTAAGAATATTTTCTTTCTCTGGCTGCTCTTGTTCATTTTCCAGGCTTTTGTGAATAAATCTGAGCAACAGAACAACCTTTGTAAGACAGATAGATGCTGGTCAGTGTAATGTCATGTGTATTACATTAACTATCACCATGCATTTACACACACTCACACAGACACTCACAAACACGCACACTCAACAAACACACATACTCATACACACAGACACTCACACTCAGACATACACACACTCCACACACACACACTCAGACACTCTTACAGACGCAAACATACACACACTCATACACACACAGATGCTCACAGTCAGACACACACACTCACTCACACACAGATGCTCACACTCACACATACACACTCACTCACACCCTGTTGTGTCATGTGCTTTTATACTGTGTACAACTTTCCTGCATTCATAGCCAACACCTCTCCCATCAATCTCTGGGTGAGCGGGAACTAAGTACTGAGTTTTTCTCACCTGCCCTTTAATGGAGAGAAATTTGTTAAAGAACAAACTTGACTACAGATCCAACCTCTGCAGAGTTCCGCATGCATCTGTATAAGCAGCGTGCTACCTAAGGCAGGCCCGCTGCCCTTCACTGTTTTCTTCCTGAAGAGATTTTCTACTGTAAAAAAAAACAGAGTCATGATTCTGTTCTCAAACTGACAGCTAAATTCTGCTCACCCTGAGCTTTAAACGAAGGGGTTCTACAGCTCTCAGGGGAAGAACTAGGATTCTTAAAAGCCTTGCGTAGTCCAGCCTCCTGCTCTAGAGTCCACCGGGGAAGCCTGAGTGGCTGTCTGTGGTCATCCTGCTGATGAATGACTGCGTGAGAATCCAACCGTATCAGGATGTCCCTGGGCTTCATGGAATAGCATTTTCCAGAGTGTCACAGGAAGATTCTGAGAAGTTCACAGCCATGGGCCTGTCACCCTCAGGAGGCTCTGAGAAGCCATCGAGATCTCCCAGCAGGCTTCCTCCCTACAAGTCATGAACTTAACACAGGCCCCTTTCCTCCCTGCACCCTTACTTCCTCAGGCCCTCCCTTTCTCTCTTCCTTCTCTCCTTCCTTTCATCCTCACTCCTTTCTTCCTTTCTTCTTCCTCTTTATCTTCTTTCTCTCATTTTTTTAACATCCTGACTGCGGTTTCCCCTCCTTCCTCTCCTTCCAGCCCCTCCCCCCCATCCACTCCTCTGTTTCTCTCCAGAAAAAGGCAGGTACCCCGTGGATATCCACCAAACAAGTTGCAGTGAGACTAGGCACCTCCCTTCGTGTTAATTTGAGATAGCTCCTGCTCCTACTATTAGGAGTCCCAGAGAAACACCAAGCTACACAACTGTAACATATATGCAGAGGGCCTAGGTCAGCCCCATGCAGGCTCCCTGGTTGTCAGTTCAGTTTCTGTGACCCCCGATGAGCCCAGGTTAATTCATTCTGTGGATTTTTCTTGTGGTGTCTTTGACTCCTCTGGCTCCTACAATCCTTTCCCCTCTCTTCCACAGGATTCCCTGAGCTTGAGCTCTGCCTAATGTTTGGCTGTGGTCTCTGCCTCTGTTTCCATCAGTTGCTGGGTGAAGCCTCTCTGATGACAGTTGGGCTAAGCACCAATCTATGAGGACAGCAGAATATCATTAGGAATTGTGTCATTGACTTTCTTTTTTTCCTCTTTTTTTTTTTTTGTTTGTTTGTTTGCCAGTTGTGTTTGGTTCTGTCCTAGGACTCTGGGGTATCCACCCTTGGGTCTCCTAGTACCAGCGTAGTCTCCAGTAGAACAGGAGTATTTTACAAAGTTGTGAGCCAGGATCCTCTCTTTCTTTCTTCTGTTGATGAGAGGGTCTAACTATGTAGCCCCAGGAACTTGCAATCCTTCTGCCTCAGCGTCTGGATTACAAGTGTGCACCATTCCTATTCATTTTTAGCCTCTAAACTTTTTAAAAATGAATTTGTTTATTTGGTGTGTATGGTCACTTTGTCTGCATGTGTGTCAACGCACCACAGACATGACTGGTTCCCAAATAAGCTAGAAGAGGGAGGGCTGCAAATCCTCTGGAACTGGAGTTACACGTAGATGTAAACCACCATGTGGGTGCTGGAAACGAACCTGGGTCCTCTGGAAGAGCAGTCAGTGCTCTTAACCATTGAGCCACTCTTCAGTTCTATTTATTTTTTCAAGATGAGGATCTTTTAAAACTTTAATTTTCTTTCTTATCTTTCTCAATTCCTTGTGGAATTAAAGAGACAATAAAGATGAGCATTATCATATTTTCCTTTTAGACTTTAAAGCTACACCAACAAGTTGGGGTTTTTTGTTTGTTTGTCTGTTTGTTTTTGTTTTTTTGAGACAGGGTTTCTCTGTAGCTTTGGAGCCTGTCCTGGAACTAGCTCTTGTAGACCAGGCTGGCCTCAAACTCTGCCTGTCTCTGACTCTAAGTGCTAGGATTAAAGGCCACCACCACCCTGCCCAACAAGTTTTAAATTGTAACGAGTAAGACATTAGATTCTTTGCTCAATTATATTCACAACTGATTTGGTCATGTCCGTGTACACAGCGGTCAGTCTTCCTCAATCGTCTGCCACCTTGTTCTGAGACAAGATTTTCCCCTTAACCTACAGCTTTCCAATTCAGCTAGACTTGCTGACTAGCAAACCCCAGAGGTCCTCCTGTCTCTGCCTCCCCAGCACTGGAGCTACAGGCTTGCGGCCAGCTTTATGTGGGAGCTGGGGATCCGAGCCCAGGTCTGCACACTTGCATGACCGACACTTTACCAAATGTGGTTTCTCCCTGACCTCCTATTCATGTCTTACATTAAAACCTCATTCTCCTCACACATCTGCCAATCCGAATAGGGAAAGAATTTCCTTCTCCTGCACTGCTGAGCAAGTAGCTGATAAGTACTTCGTATGCCTTACGAGGAGCCGAGTTCTGTGTGACTGCTTTGGAATATGTTTGCGTTCTTGTTTGTAGGTAGGTAGGTTGGTTGGTTGGTATCTTAGTTACTTTTCTAGTGCTGTGATAAAACATCATGACCAAGGCAACTTAGAGAGGAAGGGGTTTATTTGGAATTATAGTGTCAGAGGGCTAGGAGCCCATCACTATGGTGACGGGCAGCCTGGCAGGCTGGCAAGGAGGCATGGCACTGAGCAGCAGCTGAGAGCTCACTTGCCAACTCACACCATAAGCACCTCCTCCCTCCTCTACTAGATTCAGATCACACCTCTCAGTCCTTCCCAGGCAGCTACAGGGACCACGGATTCAAATGCCTTGTGACTTATGACTTATGGGAGTCATCTCCTTCAACACCTCAGTAGATTTTGGGGTTTGCTTTAAGACAAAGCCTCGCATGGCAACCTAACTTAACTATATAGCTCAGGTTGGCCTCAAACTCACAGCAATCCCTCTGCCTCGGCCTCCTGAGTGCTGGGATCATGGACGTGAACACCACACCTGGCAGAGAAGCAGGCAACACTTGCTTTAGCTCACTTTGCTTTAAATGGCTCAAGCCAGGAGGACGGTCAGGTGAGCTCTCTGTTGCGGATGAGCGAATGGGGCGAGGATGAGTTCAACGGTGTGTGAGCAAACGGGCTGCTTAGAGCGAAGGCCAGAACAGCTGCCTCCCCATGAGAAGGGGGCTTCTCTACTGCAGCCTATCGTGCATTCTAACGGGGCTTCCACTTTTTATTTGCTTCCTTATTTTAAAAAACATCTGGGGTTGTACTTTGAACTGGGTGTGGCTCAGCAGCACACTGCTTGCCTGGTGTGGGCAATCGGTTCCCATCTCCAGCTCCGCCTGAACAGGAGAGGATGTTTACTGCTGAGTCCTCGCTCCACCGCTGAGGGCTTGACCTGATTAGATGGCCAGGGAATGAAGACAAGGTAGACAGACAGATGCATACTCAGACAGAAGGTCGGGGTCTGATGGTCTGGGCTCTCGGATGGAGAAGCCTCAGCACCCCAGAAGCTTAGCATGTTTATCATATACAGGTAGAGGCAGAGTTACTGTACACAGCTGGGTCAAGGGGCACGGTCTAGCGCCATGGGAACAGTCTTCAGGCTGGGCAGAGGAAGCTGTGGTGGCCGTTGTCTGCCAACACTCACACTTGGACCCCTGAGGCGGGCTCTGCATTTATCGTGGAGCTAAGCCCTTGGGGTCCTTGATATGGCCATACCCATTAGAATTTCACTCACTCGGGGCTTACTCTCCTCCCTACCCTCCCTACAGTTTATTTATGGAATTAAATGGCCATAATGCCTACACCTATAGGAATCTATGCAAATTTACCTCAAGTTTCTGCCTTAATTCAAAAATTGTAGAGTTCTTGATGCTTGGTTTGGTTTGGTTTTGATTTTTGGTTTTTGGTTCTTAGTCATGACTGTCCTGGAACTTGGGATGTAGACCAGGCTGGCCTTGAATTCACAATCTCAAGTGTTGAGATTAGAGGCGTATGCCACCATGCCTGGCTTCTTCGAAAGGGAAGATGGAGCTGGGAGTAGATGGTGCATTAGGTATAAAAGTTCACACTTACAATCCCAGAACATGAGCAGTAGGAAGAATATGGCCTGGAGTTAAGGCCAGCCTAAGCTATATAGTGAGTTTAGACCAGCCTGGGCTACATGAGTCCCTATCTGGAGAAAGAGTAACACCAAAACCCACCAAAACAAAAATAATAAAGAACAGATGGACAAGTCTTTATTTTTGTTATATCATGGTACCTTCACTACATTCTTATTTTAAACTTTTATTACTCGAACTTTCTAGTGCCTACGGGTTACAACTCCATGGAGCTGAGTGACATTTCCAGCGAAAACTGCCAGATAAACAGATACGGTTACTTCAGAGCCACCCTGACAATTGTAGGTAAGGTTAAAGACCTGTGGAGAAGATACCAGATCTACAAGGCCACCCATGTGTTGCTAACACTAGAAGGGTAGAGGGAAAGGAGCAGGGTCACCTGTCTGGTCCAAGGAGATGCAAACGTAGGAAACAGCATCTTGTTTGGTTTTTTGTTTTGCTTTGTTTTCCGAGACAGGGTTTCTCTGTGGCTTTGGAGCCTGTCCTGGAACTAGCTCTTGTAGACCAGGCTGGCCTCGAACTCACAGAGATCCTCCTGTCTCTGCCTCTCTAGTGCTGGGTTTAAAGGCATCTGCCACCACCGCCTGGCAGGGAGCAGCATCTTGTAGTTCGCATGTTCCATTTGTTCACCTGCCTGCCTTATGCTTTCTGGTAGAAATTTATCCCTTGGGTGCCCAAATGCTAAAGAACCTGGGCTTGCATCCCCTGTGAGCCTCCTGGAATCTCAATGGATGGGGGAAAAGAAAGCCAGCAAGGGGTGCTCACTGCTTCCTTCTGCTTCCAGTGTGACTTTTACCAAGTCACTCTTTTCTACCTGTAAAGTGGGGGATAAGCAAGCTACCACACAGGGCTGCACGCTTCGGGTACTGCCCCGAGGTCCCAGCAGAGAAAACAGATGGCACCACCGCCAGCTGGGGCATCCATGGTTCTGAAGACATGGAATGTCTAGAGGCTCTCTGAGGACAGGATGGGTCAGCCACCTGTGATCCATGGGGTTAGCATCTGCCCAAGTCACCTTTTCCTTAACCATCTCCCAGAAAGGGAGTGTTACTTTCTAACGTGGACCAGGCTCTACAGAAAAGAGTCTCAGTAGGCAGAACCATTCGTGTGACTATGAAAACATTGCATGGACATGAATGCAAAACTCTGGGGATAAATTCCCATGTTTGCTAGATTTCTGTTCAGCAAGAAGGCTGTTTCTATTTGCTTTTCCTTCTTGATTGTTAAGGGGCATCTCTTAATGCATCTAAGTTTCTGTAATAGGTAGGTTTGGGGACTTACAAAGAGTGGGGGTTTGTTGCTTGCTGTTCTTAAGGCTGGATGTCAGATCCAGTGTCTGGTGAGGAGCATGTCCTGGTTCATGGAAGACCATCCCCTCGCTGTATCCTCACATGGCAGAGGGGACAAGGGGGCTTTCTGAGGTTTCTCCATAAGGGCACTGATCACATCTCCAACAAAGGCTTTGCCTCCTCACGCCATAACTTAGCTGGGATTTCAGCCCAGGAAAAAGAGCCTGTAGCAGAATGGTTTCCATTGGTCTCTGCTATATTTTAACATTTCTCTTTGGTGCCTGTTTCGCTAGAGGGGATCGTAGAAGTCAGCATCATCCAGATAGCAGACGTCCCAATGCCCATGCCACAGCCTGACAACTCCCTGAAGGACTTCATTGTGACCTGCAAAGGGGCGTAAGTACAGCGTCATGCCAGGGGAAAGGCCCTGAGTAAAGGGCTTGGCTACTAGTCATCCCTTTGAAGTAGATTCAAAATTCTACATGTTAGAAACCCCAGACGAGCTAGGATAGGAGAAGGGGTGTGTGCCTGTAACCCCAGCAGTCAAGAAGCTAAGTAAGGCAGGAGATCATGGGCTGTATAGGGAACCTTTCTCTCAAAATAAAGAATAAAGAGGGGACAGGGTAAAGTGCATCCTAACATACACAAAGCCCTGGGTTCGATCCCCATCACTGCACAAAACGGGACACAGGGTAATGCCTGTAATCACAGTACTCTAAAGGTGGAGGCTGGACAATCAGAAGTTTAAGACTGAGCCAAGCGGTAGTGGCACATGCTTTTAATCCCAGTACTCGGGAGGCAGAGGCAGGCAGATCTCTGTGAGTTTGAGGCCACTCTGGTCTACAAGAGCTAGTTCCGGAACAGGCCTCAAAGCTACAGAGAAACCCTATCTTGAAAATCTGAAAAAAAAAGATGTTTAAGACTATCTTTAACTACATAGTGAGTCTAAGGCCAATCTGGCTACATGAACCCCTGTCTTAAAAATAAATAAAGAAATAAAGAAATAAAGAAGCGGGCAGGGAGTGGGGCAGAAAAGCAAGAAGTTGCTGTTTAAAGCTGTCATTACAGAGGCATGCACAGTGTCTTGTGCCTATAATCCTAGAACTTAAGAAACTGAGGCAGGAGGTTCACCATGAGTTCTAGGCCAACAGTGTGAAACCCTGTTTCAAAAACAGCAAAACCCCTTACCACCACCACCACCACCACCACCACCACCAGAAGCCCTGACATTGCTCTCTTTCCTCCCTCATGTGATCTGGGTGCTCGCCCTGCTCCCACGTCACAGCACTCCCACAGAAGTTTGTACCATCATCTCCGATCCCACCTGCCAGGTGGCCCAGAACAGGGTCTGCAGCTCCGTAGCTCTGGACGAGCTGTGCCCGCTCTCCGTGAGAAGAGCCTTCAATGGGTCTGGAACGTACTGTGTGAACTTCACTCTGGGTGATGACACAAGCCTGGCCCTCACCAGCGCCCTGATCTCTATCCCTGACAAAGGTGAGGTATGGCTTATAATTTTATGAACATTTCCTACTGCAGAAGTGTACACCCAAATTAAAGCCCCCAAGGGCTTCACTAGCAGTGTTTGTCTCGCAGCAAGATTCTTTGAACTCTTGTTAATAAGGATTTAAGAACTGGCATTAAGCTAGATGTGGTGGCACACGCCTTTTAATTCCAGCACGCAGAAGCAGAGGCAGGTGCATCTCTGTGAGTTCTAGTCTAGTTCCAAGGACATCCAGGGCTACACAGTGAAACCATGTATCAAACGTAAAAAACTAGCATTAACCCAATCACAGATCTACTTAGCACGGTGAAGAGAGAGACTTGGTGAGATAATGGCAGAGAAAAGCCCATCAGTGAAGGGTACCATCGAGACCACAGGCCAGCAATAGTGAGACGTGATAAGATGATGTCATCACGGCACTGGCCAAGAGGTTTGTATTTCCAGAGGGAACTGAACACCCAACATTAAAACAAACAAACAAAATGACAATCATAAAGGAGAGGCCAAAACCAGGGTTTCAGGAGAAGCCACCAGGGCAAAGCCAAAAGCAATGAGAAACTGAGTTGAAATCTTGCTTCCTCTGATTCCCATGTGACCTTTTTATAAAGTCTTCCTCAAGTCTCCTAAGAGCTGCCTGAGACAGTACCAGCCACTTTGCCCACTCATCCAGAAGACTGCTCCTTGAGCCAGGCTTGTTATTTCTTCCCTCTGATCCTGGGATTCAGGCACCCATGGCAGGAGAACCATGAGCTTCAAGGCCAGTCTGGGCTAGAGGGTGAGAGCTTTGGAAAGCCTCAATGCAGCGTGGTGGCACACACCCATAATCTCAGCACTGGGAGGCAGAGACGGGCAAATCTATATAGTGAGTAAAAAAGCTAGGCGTGGTCCTGTACACCTGCACTCCCAACAACGGGACAGTCAGGGTGGAGACAGGCAGACTCCTGGGCGCTCACAGGCCATCTTGTCTAACATACTTGGTCAAATTCCAAGCCAAAGAGAAAGCCAGTCTCAAACAAAAAGAGGAGAGACTTCTGCAGGTGTCGTTTATCTCCACCTGTACACAAGTACACCCGTAACATACAACGTGCACACACATGCAGGTGCACACACACACACACAGAAACTTGGTAACTTGAATTTCAAAATCAGAATTTCAGAAATAGTCATAGTTCAAAAGAGACCCCACTGCTGTTTAGCTAGACTTCTTTTAATTGGCAGTCACTCAGCTGTCCACTTCAATGCCCAGCACAGATCTCCGCACAGGATAGAAGTCTACCCCGGCTAAAGAACAAACCGAGGAAGACTCCTGCTTTCCTGAGCAGTCACAGATGTTATAGGAAAATGTTTACACCAATTTAGTTTCACAAACTGAGCAACACTGGAGTCAGAAGAGACCCAAAGGAGGCCCCCATTGAGCAGCACCCTGTACCCTGCACAGGCTATCAGGACCCCAGGGACAGCCTTTGAAGATTGCTTCCTCAGTGAGGCCTGCAGTCAGTCAACTAAGCGGCTTCTTGTCATTGGCTGAAATTCAGCCGTTTTTGTTTTAAAGATTTATCGTGTGTGTGTGTGTGTGTGTGTGTGTGTGTGTGTTTCCTATATATGTCTGCCTCTGGGTACCGCATGGGTACAGTGCCTGCAGAGTCCAGAAGAGGGCAGGAGAGCCTCTTGGAACTGAAGTAACTCTTGGTGGCCTTGTGGGTGCTGGGGATCAAACCCAGGTCCTCTGGAAGAGCAGTTAGTGCTCTTAAGCCCTGAGCCATCTATCTCTCCAGGCCCCTTGTTTCTGTCTTTGTCTACAAAGGATTCTCATAGGAGGTTGCCATTTGCTCTCCTATGAACCTGTCAGTTAGGTCAGAACTCAGAATACCTAGTCAGCCTTAAACGAACACAGGCAGTAAACAAATTAGGAAAACAAACCAGGTCAGAGGAGTGGGCTTGGAGTGGGAGGTGAGGGCGGTGGTAAGCACCCTAGACTGGGTGTGGAGACAAGTCTTGCTGTTCAGTAGTGCCATCTTGGTAAAGGACCTCCTTGACTAAGGATTTAAACACATTTAGAGAGCACATGTAGGCCACTGTTAGGTTCACCGAAGCTTCATTCTGTCGGCCAGAGTGAGGCCTTGGCAGGCGAGAGCTCACGTGCACGTACTAGGTTTTTCTTGGGGCGGCTGATCAGCTCTAAACCATGACATGGAGGCTTCTTATTGGTTACGGCTGCTCAGCCTCGCTTAGGCTCACTTAGGGTTAGCTTTTTTCTTTAACTTAAATTAACCTGTTTTTCCTCATCTACCTTTTGCCTCAGGACCTTTTTACCTTTCTTTCTGTATGTCTTACTTACTGCTTCCTCCAGAGTCTGCCTGACCTGGTTTCTGGCCCCGGGGGTGTCCCTCTCTTTCTCCCTTGTTCTCTTTTCCTTCCTCTCTCTCTCTCCTCTCCAGCCTAGATTTCTCCTCCTACTTATTCCCTCTGCCAACCAGCCCTGCCTATCCCTCTCCTGCCTAGCTACTGGCCACTCAGCTTTTTGTTAGACCAATCAGGTGCCTTAGGCAGGCAAGGCAAAACAGCAACACATCTTTTCATATTAAACAAATGTGGTATAAACAAATGTAACACATCCTTACATTGTTAAAGACATGCAGCATAAGCAAATGTGACACACCTTTATCCAGTTAAAGTCATATTTTGCAACATAAACAAATGTAGCACATCTTTGCCTAGTTAAAGTCATATTCCATAACGCATGCATACAGTGGAGAGATGATTTTAAGAGGAGGCTCAATCAACAGAGGACCTCCCAGGAGGGGCCTGGTGGATAGGATGGGGTCAGAGGCAGAGCAGATGGAGGCGGCTTAGGTAACTAAGTATGCCTGGGGTAGAGACAGAACTGGTTGGTTAAAGAGGAGTGAGAAGATGAAATCCCTGCCTCTGTGGCCCTCGCAGTACAGGAGAGCTATGGAAAGTAATAATGACAGCCTGTGATCCAGGTCTAGGAAGAGGCAGGCAGGGAAGTGAGAAGGACTGAGTGGTGCCTTCAGGAGCGCTAGGAAGGCACCAGAATTGAGGAAACTGAGATGAGCCAGGGAAGGGAGGTCCCAGCAGGGGCCATGGAGGTTTCCCAGAATTCCAGGTTTTTAGCACAGGGGCAGGCATATAGCATGAGATGGGGCCAGAGGCCAGCACCGTGGAGCATAAGAGCTTTTTAGCACACAGGTGCCAACAGCTCAGCAGTGTCCTGAGAGGGTGTCACCAGACTGTGGCATTTATCCATGCCTGCCCACTTATTCTCAACCCAGAGTCTATACATTGCTTGATGGGAAAGGTCGCCTAATGGCCAGAGTGGGGTAGTATCCTCTGCAGCAGCTCCCGTCCCCATTCAACAGCGTCACAAGCAGGTGTCCTTCAATGGAACACAACTTACAGGGTTTTCCTTCTGCCTTAAGACCCAGTCTCCCCGCTGAGAATGGCGAATGGTGCCTTGATCTCCATTGGCTGCCTGGCCGTGTTTGTCACCATGGTTACCATCTTGCTATACAAGTAAGTTTCTGATTTTAACACTGTATTGTATCTCTATAGCAGATAGTCAAAAACGAGTAGCATTCTTGTGTATGAACATACCAATTTTTTTCCATTTAAATATTTTGCATATGAGAAGAAACTCATCCATTGAACCGTGAATACCAAACTGGGACCTATTAATTTTACTGCGGTTTTGGATTTGTTTGTTTTAATCCCGAAAGTGCTGCCAGGCGTCAGTAACTTGGCAAAATTTTGTCTATATAATGTTTAACAAAATTTTAAAGTGGGTACTTCTTACTTGAAGAGAAAATAGCTGCACTCCCCTAAGATGCTGGGGCGTCGCCAGCAACAGACTGGCTGAAATGGTCAGCTCCTTTGCACCTGGCATGAAAATCACTGTAGAAAGGAATTTAGTTCAGCTAAAGGCATTTTTTAAAATCCTGTCCAACACATCGTTTTCAGAAAACACGAGGCGTACAAACCTATAGGAAACTGCCCTGGGAAGATGGCCAAAGGCAGAAGCCTGAGTGTTTTCCTCAGCCATGCAAAAGCCCCGTTCTTCCGAGGAAACCAGGAGAAGGATCCACTGCTGCAGAGCAAGCCAGGAATGCCCTAAGTCTTAAGCCTTATTTCTGACCAGGATCCTGCTCCAGTGTGTTTCATGAGCTGCGCAGAAGCACGTGACTGGTAACTCTCATTTCTAAAGGATTATTGTAAAATATAAATCAGGCTTAGGAAGGCTAGTTAAATGGCACTTGGAGAAGGGACGAAATGACCTAGTGTTTTGTCCCATTTATGTTGTGGATTTTTTTTTTTTGTTTTTTGAGACAGGCTTTCTCTGTAGCTTTGGAGCCTGTCCTGGAACTAGCTCTGTAGACCAGGCTGGCCTCGAACTCACAGAGATCCACCTGCTTCTGCCTCCCGAGTGCTGGGATTAAAGGCATGTGCCACCACCGCCTGGCTTGTGTTGTGGCTTTTACACTGTTAGCCGGATGGACTTTCTGTGTCTGAGGACGGAGGGAGAAGTCACTGCTCCAAAAGGTCCTAGGTTAACTGTGAGAGGAGATCACATGCTGCTAGCTTTCCACATAACCATGTGCACAAACCAGTTAGTCCTGACCTGAAGACCAGGTCCATCTAACTGTATTTCAGCTCACTGAACATGCCTGAGCTCCTGGCAGAATGACAATACAAGCTTTTTGTATGGTGTATGTGTGTACATATTATGCTCATTAAAAAGATAGCCTAATAAGCTGGTGTGATTATTCTATCAGGGGGGAAACTTTTCCTGTCTAGTTGACATGAACATTTATTTAGTGCTTTCTGAATACCAACCATGATGTGGGACTTGATCTTGTCCCCAGAGCTGATGCTCTTTTGTACACATCTGGTTCTTGGTGTGTGCTGGTGTGTGCATGTAGAGTCATGTGCTATGGTTTTCTAAGGGAGGCCACTTCTTTTCCTACCAGTTTCTGTGTGAAAACTCATACAGGAAATAATCAAGGCGCTCACTTCTGTTTGTAGCTCACATCCTGTGCCATGACATTCTCTTTTCTACTTCCTGGAAAAATAAAATGTAGGATGCGATGAGCCCTTGGTGGTGTTATTATTTTTCTAATGTACTGTTTGCTTTTCAGTTACATTTATGATTTTAGTAATAAAGTCTTTTAATGCCACCCAAAAAGCAATAATAATCTCATAATTTTTTAGATTTATTCTGTGTGTATGAATGTTTGTCTTCATGTATGTACATGTACATGTGTGCCTGGTGTCCGTGTAAGTCAGAGGAGGATGACATGGAACTGGAGTTGAGGATGGCTGTGAGCAACCATGTGGGTGCTGGGATCTGAGCCTAGGTCCTCTGCAAGGACAGGCAGTGTTCAGAACCTCTGAGTCATCTTTTCAGCCCCAATAGTTTCTAATTTAAGAACTGGGTATCATGACTCATGCCCTTAATCCCAACACTTGAGAAGTACAGGAGAACCAGGAGTTCAAGGCCAGTGTCACCTGCATAGAAAGTTTGAGGCCAGCTAGAACTATGTGGAACCCTGTCTCAGAAAGATGTGTGTGTGTGCGCACATGCGTCATTAAGTTTTAATTTAAAAATTTAGTGTGTAAGTGTTTATAATCAAAATATAAAAGGAGAGTTTGGGGCCAGAATGCAGTGCAGCAGCAGAGTGCTTGCCCAGCGTGCACAAAGGCCCTTCCTTCTATTTCCAGCAAAGAAAAAGAAATTTAATTAGGTAAGGGAGTTTTATTTTTAAATAGAGAAGAGGCCTTTTGTCTTTGATTCTGAGCAGCCAACATCACGTTACAAATAAGAAGGGGCTAGTTGACAAGTTAGTGAACATTTTCTATGAAGTTTGCAAACATCTTAGCTTTCGTGGAGTTTCTTTCAAAGTAACTCAGTAGCCTGAGAACCAGAGATGCATCACTGAATGAGCACTGCTACCTTCCAGCAGAAACCTATCTCAAAGGCGTGTGGGGAGCTGGGCCGTGGTGGCGCACGCCTTTAATCCAGCACTTGGGAGGCAGAGGCAGGCAGATCTTTGTGCGTTCGAGGTCAGCCTGATCTACAAGAGCTAGTTCCAGGACAGACTCCAAAGCTACAAAGAAACCCTGTCTCGAAAAACCACAAATAAATAAATAAATATATAAATAAATAAATAAAATAAGAGGAAAAAAAAGAGAAAGAAAAAAAACCAAAGGGGGGAAAAAGTGTGCGGGGCCACGTTTGACCCACAAGACATTGTCTACTCTACACCAGCAGAGTTAACGGTGACCAAGTGCAATCCAAGAGTCCAGATTGAATATACCTTGAAGGAGTAGAAAACGGCCATGAACAATAGTTTAGGGACAACTGGATAAACCTGGCTACACCCCCAAACACGAGCTGGTATTACGGAACAACTGTTCCTTGAGGCATTGCTGGGGACCACATTCAGTGTGGCATTTTTGACCCTAGATGGCCTAGAAGCAGAAAGAAGCTTTTTGTATGGAAAGGGCCTCCAAAGAATGCAAACATTGCCGGCCAACTATTTATTTATATGACGGCGGTGGGGCAAGGGCTCTAAGCCAGGGGTGCTTGGCAATGTTTGGAGAGATTTGTGGTTGTCACAACCAGGGTGGAATCTGCTGGCATCTAGTGGGGAGAGCCCAGAGATGCTGCTGAACACCCTGAAATCTGCAGGACCACCCCACAGCAAAGGAACCCTGCTGCAACAACTGAAGTCCTGGGCATGGATATCCAAACAGAAGCCTTGACTCTGGACCCAACCCTGATGCTTAAAGTCAGGTGACCTAGTACCGTGACATTTTTGGAGCCTTTCCCATTTCTGTCTCAACTTAGAGGGTATGTTGTCCCCTCTAGCATACTTCTCAGGGCTTCAACAGAGCCATCTGCAAGAATGAATGCAGCTAGAGCAGGGGCGAGAGATGGCAGTTGTGGGGCAGTTGCCTAGCATGGGGGGGGGGGGGGGCCAAGACGCCCCCCGGAATGAAAAAAAAATGAAAGTAAAGGTGCTCTTGATATGGCCTAGTGCTTCGCTGAGCCTGAGGACAGAAGCAGTTTTTGTTTGTTTGTTTGTTTAATAATGCCTAAAGAGCCAGATCATTGATATCTAAAACAGAACAGCAATTTCAGGTTGCGGCAGAATCGACGGACTGCTGAGCCACACCCCCATGGCTTCTAAGGCAATCTTGTGGGGGTAGGATCCCAGGATTTGGATTTCTAAAAGGTCAGCAGAGGGGTTGGGTCTAGGACCTGAGCAAGATGGGCTTGGGACCCACTCTTCCTTTCTCCCATCAACAGGGGGCAGCAGAGAACAGCAAATTCGAAAGACACCAAGGCCACAGGTCCATGCCTTTATCTAGCTGCATCTAACCAAATTTTAATCTAACAAATAGCAGGAAAGAGGTCTGAAATAATAAATCGTGTCCATTTATATTTTCCAAGTGATCCGAACAAGAAGTCATTTAACTTCTAAGGACATTATCTGCAAAATGGAGAAAACAGCCTAAGAGATAGAGGGATGGCTTGATTGATGGCTGAGAATTGGAACTTCCCAAGGAAGTGAGTGTAGGTAATAAATGATTCCAGGGATTAAATTAATTTTTTTCCTTCCTTCCTAGCTTTGGAACCTGTCCTGGAACTAGCTCTTATAGACCAGGCTGGCCTTGAACTCACAGAGTTCCACCAGCTTCTGCCTCCTGAGTGCTGGGATTAAAGGCGTGTGTCACCACTGCCCAGTGGCTCAGGAATTTCTTATTCCTAGGGTTTTTATAAATGTCTACATCCTGGGCACCTCTGAGTCATTCATAAATATTGGTTTCCTGGAGTTGAATTTCCATGATGTAAAAGTTTGGGAGTGCGGTGCTTTTCAGAGTGCTCACACAGAATGCACTCAACTCTTAAGCTCAGGTGACAAAGAGCAGATGAAGGTGGCCTCCTTTGGTTAGACCCTGGTTGGGGGGAGGGAATGACAATCCTTCGAAGGTGGTTGTTGTTGCTGTTGTTGTTGCGGCTGTTGTTGCTGTTGCTGTTACTGTTGCTGCTGTTGATGTTGTTGTTGTTGTTGCTGCTATTGCTGTTGTTGATGTTGTTGCTGCTGTTGCTGTTGTTGATGTTGCTGCTGTTGCTGCTGCTGTTGTTGTTGTTGTTGCTGCTGCTGCTGCTGTTGTTGTTGTTGCTGCTGCTGCTGCTGCTGCTGCTGCTGTTGAAGAGTGCTTTCCATGCGGCTGATACCCTGCAAAGGCACCTATTCCAAAGGTCCACTATCAAAGAACACCCCTTGAAGACTGATTTTGATCACGTAATCATCTTTTATTTAATGCTGGGATGGTTTGGGTCTAGGAGAGAACAAAGATGATAAGAGATACAAGGACTGAGTGTGTGGGGGCTTCGATCCAGACCAGCATTGTGTGTCCTGGGCATGGGGTCTCTGCAGAGACTGCCCAGGCTCACTGGCCTTCGCTTCCCCTGCAAGGGCAATTTCTGTTTATATAAAAGTAGCCGGCCCTTTGTTCTCAAGATCTAGAGTGAACACTGCCTTAGAGCTCTCTCTGAGGTGAGTTCGAATCGGCTGTGTGCTGGTTCGAGCGAAAATAGTCCTCATAGGCTCACGTATCTCAATGTGTGGTCCCCAGTTTCAAGTCAATCAGGGACTAATTCTCTGTAAGCAAGGCTCCAATTAAATGCTTCCTTTTATAAGAGTTGCCATGGTCGTGGTGTCTCTTCACAGCAGTAGAACAGTATAAGACAGGCCTGTTGCCTCTTACATGATCTTAGTACTTAGCCAGTTCTTGGTCTGTGCCTAACTTCACCGGCATCTCACAGTGTCTCTCTACCAATCAGAACGCCCCTTACACTCCCAGTGCAAGTGTGTGTTCATTACAGCTGCACAGCACAAGCGTCAAGACTTGAGTGGGATGAGTTCTTCCTTTGAAGGCGTGAAACACAGTCTGCTTTCCTGAAAAGAAAGGCGCCCTTAATGAGCTCATGGCAGGAGGGTTTGGGTTGTGGTGACTGTAAAATCTGCCTTGGAATTGAATGAGTGCCGGCCAGTAGATAGGGCTGGAGTGGAGAGGCCTGGGCTCCGGCCTGATACATTCTCACTAGCAAGGGACCCAGAAACCTGTCCCTCCCTCTCTGCCCCTCATCTATCAAACAGAGGGGAGGAGGGGAAAGCCACTTCTGAGTCTTCGGTTCTGATGCTCTGCTGTGGAAAATGAAGACAGTTAACTTTCTCCAGAGATTCCAGGAGGCTGACAGTCTGTGTCAGGCAGATTCCAGTTTCCCTGCCAAAACCACCCTCCTGCCCATAAGCAAAGCATAGTTTTTATACTTGTAAATGGTTAGGGGGAAAAATGAAGAGTCAAGGCAGGCTATGTGCTTCCATCCCAGCACAGAAAGAAAAAGTGGGAGGGAAAGCAGTGCATTCCTGGTGACACGAAACAATTAGGTCAAATGCAGAGTTCAGCATCCATGAGTAAAGATTTGCTATTCTCCCTCTGCCTCCCCGTCCTTCTTTTCTTCCTCCTCCACCTCCTCATCTTCCGCTTTCCTCTTTGCTTCCTCCTTCCTTCTCCCCTTCCTTCCCCACTTCTCTCTCCTTTTTTTTTCTCCCTCCTCCTCCAGATCAGATCTGTTACCTGGGCTCGCCTGAAACTCCGGGGCTCAGCTAATCTGAGAGGTTTTCCTCTCTGCCTCCCTGCACCTCCAAGCAGGCGTGCTCGGTGCTTATCCGCTGCTGCTCACCCTACAGTGGCACAGCTGTGTGGTTCTGAGGGCGGCTGAGAGGGCCTTCAACACCTAAGAATATTTCCTGCCTGACCCTTTACAGAAAGTTCACCCATCTGTGACCTAGGGTGGGTCTCGGATCTGAACTGTATTAGGAAAACAAGAATTATGCAGGAAACTTCAAGGATGTCACTTTCTCTCTCTTTTTTTTTCTCTCTTTTTTTAAATTTATTTTTATTTATACTTATGTTAGAGGGGAACCCTCAGAGGCCAGAAGAGGGCAACAGATCCCTCTGGAGCTGGAGTTGTAGGCAGCTGTCAGCTGCCTGACATGAGTGCTGGGAACCACACT